GTAAGAGCTTCATCATTAAAAATGTTTCCCCTGAAATATGACATCTTCCCAAATGAGGAAAATTAAGTCTCATTGATGACTTGGAATTCCCAGGACACAGGGTCATTTTGGGTAAGGATGTGGCATTTATCCCCTTTCCGTTGGAGCCAGGACTTTGCAAAGTGAAGACATGAAGATTGATAGGGCTAGAGGAAGAGAGCATAAATTTTTGCCTTACAGCACTGTCATTTGAAAGGGGGAATACCGGGTATTTTCTTTGAGATTGTTTATGCATTTTATCTAAAGATTGTTCCGAATCAATTGTGTAGAGTTTTTGAGACAAGTACACAGAAATAGCTCTTTTTTATGCAGTATTAAAGCTACAAGGCTGTAAAGTCCAGGTCTCCACTTTTCCTGTCTTGCCACAGTGAGTCTTGAATTCTTCAAAATGAAGATTTTTTTCTTGGCCATTCTCACCTGTTTGTGTGGTGAGAGAATGAGCTGCTTGGACAGACAGACGTGAGCTTGACCTTTTCAGGCTGTTGTGGCAATCGCATCCAGGTACTCTGAGTTAGATGTCAGATCAAGCTAGTAACAGAAGATGGATGGGAGCAGCATCAACATGGTCCCCAAAATGGTGCCATAAAACATAGAACACCATTCAGTTATCTCAAAAATTACTGTGGGTGTCTTTCCACCAGGGAAAATACAAACCATTGCATTCAAACTAGTGCAAATAATTAACTGCAGCTCATGCAGAGGCACTTCAATAGTAGCACGGGGTAGAGAATTTTGCTGTTGACTTTGCCAAGAAATCTCCCTGATCAACATGTTGATGTTTCAGACCACATGCTGAAGTCATTTAGTCTCCCATGAAGTATGTAGGGAGTCTTCATCAGACATCACTTGGAGGGCACAGATTTCTACTCTGCATTGGAATATGTGAAGTTAGATAATGCCTCATGAAATTTTTTTCAACTCCTACCTCTACTCCTGGCTGTAGCTTTTACTGTTTAGTTAATGCAGGAAAGAAATGTTTCCCTAGTAACTTAAAAGAGATTTTTCTTCTCTAAAAGCCCACAGGAATGCCAGATAAAAAGGTAATCCTAAGAAAAAGCACTCAAAATTGATTACTAGGTAACAAAGTCAACACAGGCATACATGTCAGTGACAGCTTATATTTGCTAATGCTGTATATATGAGCTGGTTAGTCAGAGCTGCTGATTCTGGTGTAATACATGAGTTTATCAGTTTCAATAAACACTGAGACAGATTTTATCTCAGCTAACACCACATATTGCAAAATCACAAATGCATTTAACCAAGAGGATACATGACAATTCCTTAACAAAATAGTATCTCTTTGACATCAGTTTCAAAGGACTAAGTTGACTTTGGCTGCATTCCTTTTGCCTGCTGTGTTATTGCAGCAATGAATATCACTGCATTACAGCAGGACTGTAGAGAAAAATAATCTTCAAAAATATAACAAAAGAAAAGCATTGATCAGCAAGTCAAGACTGAAAATAAGTATCTTTCATTTACTTCTCCAGACTGATATATCTGTTTAGTCACTTTTCTAGGTACTTCACAGTCAACAGAGAACTTAAGGCAGTGTCAGGAATCATAAAAGAATTCAGTGGCAGAGAATACTGATTTTCAGGTATCACAGTAACTAAACAATATTTCTACCCCTTAAAATAACTCAGTGAAAAAATAGGCAGGTCTCATACATTCACCCTAACTTTTTGGACAAGTATTATTCCATTTCAACAGCACTGATACCAAGCATAAGAACTGTACCTCACAGACTTGCAGTCTTAATTTTGTGACTCCTTAATACAATAATAAAAGTTTTATGAACTCAAATGATGCTATTAAGAGAGGAAAATTAGCCAAAGCCTCTCTGGACTTATTCTCAAGACCAGAATATTTAGTTCTTCTTTCCATAAACTCTGGTTATACATGAAAATGAAACATTAAAGTGCTGGTGCAGAGCCAAATTGCCCTAATACATAAAAGTTTAAACTACAAACCAAGTGCTGCTGGAAGACAAGGGCACTATCCATGTATGGGATCCATGTCATTGCTGTCTTCTGAAAGGCACTGAAGAATGATTATACCCATAGTAATGGAACTGATCAACTTGTCCTCCACACCAGCCGTGCCTTTAGAACAATTTAATATCTTGACTAGCCAAAGAAGACAGTATTTGCTTTTCTAGCTATTGCCAACAACATGGGATAAAGAAAAACTACTGTGAAAGTATTAAAGAAAATTCCAGCAATATGACACTGGTTAGCTGTTGAACCTCCAGAGGTTCAGACCAGAGCACAGAACAGAGACTACCCTGGGAACTCCAGTTTACATACTCCATGGCCTTTTCACATGAAGATGATCTCCATGTTGTTCTGTGAGATCTCTCCAGTGACTTTGATACAGTGTGCTACAGAAGAAAGTCTCCAAAGCATAGAGGCTTTGGTACATCTCATTTGTCTCCGATAAGCCTTGGTGAGGGCAGTCAGTAACTAGTTCTTCCCTCCCACACGCTCTCAGAGCCTTTTCACCATTAACAGCAAAACAGAGAAACAGCATGTCCCCACATTCCAACAGTGTGATCATGATATTCAGAACTCTGTTGATTTTTCTTGATACCTTTCCACAAATAAAAACGTATATATAATTTTTATAATGACACAGTGATAAGAACACCTGCTCATGGAAGCCATGATGCGAACCTTCCACAGCCAGAGGGTTACTTCAGGGTGAAGTGACAACAGTGTACTCAGGGGAGGACACTGGTAGGGACTAAAAGAACAGACACCACTACTGATGGGTCACTCTGAATAAAAGCATAAAGATTAGGAAGTCAGAAGCACTGGAGAACATCATCCCATGGCTTGACATGTTTTTGAAGGAGTGTAGCATAGCTATTGATCTTAAGAGAAACATATGCCTATTCTGTGAAGCTAAAGATTGGGTGTCAAAATGTTCTGCACAGTAAAAATGATGCCAACCCAGGAAAGCAGAGCAGAAGCACTTCACATGCCTAAAAATTTCAGTAGGGACAACATGAGATGTTTCAGGACTCTCAGTCACACTACAAGTAAACAAGGATTTTACAGGGATTGCTCACCTGGACCCACAGACCTAAATTCATCCCATGTGGCGTTTTTGGCACATAAACACTAGGATGGTTTTTGGTTGGTTGTTTTATTGTGGTTCTTTTTATTCTGTGTGTTTCTTTCTGTCTTGTAACAATCCTGACAAACAATCTATTTGTCTGTGACCTCCACCCCAGATTACTATAACTCACTATGTGGTTGAAACTATACGTGTGGGTAAAAAACAGGCTCCAGATATGACTGCTCATCTTTTCCAGTGCTCACATCATTATAGAATAACAGACCAGCTTCCAAGTAGTTTGTAAAACAGATCCAATAATGAACTGAGACATTTTAGCTTGTTCATCCCCATGATTTAATAGGTACCCTGTTTCACTGCATAGGGAGAGTTAAGAGCCTTAGAATTGCAAACTGGACAGCCCAAATGGCTATGATATGATGTGCTGTGCAGAGAGACATATTGGAAAACTCCTCCACAGTGTAAGGATCTCCTACAGCTAAAGCTAGCAAGGCTTCATGGTAGTTAGGAACACAGACTTCTAGAATTCCCACAGAACTGAGCAGAGCTAGTCCTTTTATTCTATAGTCTATGTTCTACATATGTATTTTATTGAACACAAAAATTGTGTTAGTAGTAAACCCACTTATTTTTATCTAATATGCTGTAGTTAGTATATTGAACAAAAAAAAAAGGACAGTGTGTGTTCAGTTCCTAACTTGGCTGACAACTGAAGCCCTCACCACCCACCTTCAAGGAAAAGAACTCTGCAATCTGTTGCAGAGATGTTTTTCCTTGTGATCTTTCTGGTCTTAGGAATTTTTAATTCCATCCTACTCAATGGCACAACTTCATGCAGATCTACTTGAAAGTGTGTTCTTTTTCAGTTATGTATATAGAGGGGTGGTTAGATCCATTGATTAAGATGCCCCAAAAATGTGTATTTGAATCTCCTCAGGCTGAGCAGCAAGCTCAGTCTCACATCATTTGCCTACTCTGACATTCAGGCTAATATTTAAAAGGTGGTTTGCATCACAGCTGCTTTTTATTTTTTTCCAAGGGCTGACTTCATTTGCATTCTTGGAGAAACTAAATCTTGTTTATGTGGATTAAACCTGCTCACAGGGTCTTGGGTGGAAGAAAATTCATCAGGCCCTACATGAGAACTGCATACTTCAGCTCAAAATGAGCCAATTCTATGTCTCCACAGAGAAAACTAAGAGGAAAATTTATTGTTAAATGGGAAGATATTACAGTGTGGTTAGTCACCTTCAGGGGTAAATGGCACTTAAATTAGGGAGTATTTAGGATGTCAATTCTGGCACCAAGTTTAGGCTTAACTACTAATTATTAGTCTAAGTACAGCCTAAATACTGCTGCAGATTCCTCACTTCATTGGATTTAATCCATTACAGAATTTTAAAATCTGTGAATGGTTCAAAACCTGGTTTTATTTAAGTTCATGTTTTGATATATGAGCCATAGTGTCTGCTAAATAACAAAGCCCCAGCTGAAACATGGGAAAAAGAGGACAGAGCTTTTTTTGTGGTGATCCAAACATGCATCCAGGGTAGGTCAAGCAAATCAAGATGCTCACAAAGAATCACTATCAGTAGAGCACAGAAAAAAATTATAAGTGGTTCCTTTTGTGTAAGCTAGTGCAGCAGCATTCTGTTATCCTAAAAGGCTCATGACTGATGAGGGAGAATATCAATTCATAGCCTATAGAATGAAAAATCGAATTGTTTGATGAGACCTTGGATGAAATTTCACCCCTTCTACTACTATGAACCTGAATGATGTTGAAGAGCTTGACAATTTTTGTTTGCTTCATATAATTAGGTTTTAATAATTTGACGAGAAAAGACAACTACAACAAATTTAACATACATAACAAATAAGGAAATTTGCATTATATTTGAAGGATCTGGCAGACTGTCACTCACCACAATGTCTTGGAACAAACTAAAGTTATCTATAATTTCACAGATGTTAAACAAAACAAAATTAAAAAAAGTTCTATTGCTAAAAAATTCTTATGGTGAATTCAGATTTGTCTCCATGTTCATAACACAAGTAACTTGACAGATGAAAAGTAAAGATTCAGATAAATAAAACACAATAGAATGGCCACACACAGCATGGGATCTCATAAACTACTGCAGATATTTGTACTGTTCTGAAAGTCATCTTGATTAAAAATTAACTATGTATTCACTGTTTCTATCCAGTTTTCCTGAAAAGAACTAAAAATTCATTTCTTTTCCTCTGTAGAAGAACCAAGCATGTGGTTCTCTACTACAATCATTTATTTCTTACTTACAAATCAGACAATTCTTAACAAGACAGTACAGTACAATAATTCTTCCCATAATTAAAAAATTATATATTCTATTTTGCTTCTTTGCTGAAGTGGTTTTCTTATGTTTGCTTTCCTGATACAAATGTCCTTGGTCAAGGTAGATGAAAAATGTGATCAAGCTGCAAAAAAAAAAATCCATTTAATTGACAGTCCCAGTATTGAAGGAAGCTTGTGCAACCTTTGAGTTTGTTTTCTTGTTCAAAGCTGTGCAGATGAAATTTCCAGCTTCCATCACTGCATAAAGATTTACTCCCTAAAAAAGAGGTGAAAAATGTTAAGAATAATAAATGTACATGATGAAAATGCTTAGACTCTGAGTTTTTTTGCTCCGGGGTCTAATTTTTGCAAACAATGGGCCTGATTCATGTTGTAGGTCAGTAACACTGATCAGCAGAGTTAGAGTGATCTACAGAATAGTTACAGCAATTTACTGAATAGTTACAGCTTCCCGTTGTTTGGAAGGTTCTACCACTTTGAGAGTGATTTCTTCTCTTAACAGCAGTGGACCAAATGCTGGAGTAATATTTTTCAAACTCAAAAGAATCTGGAACAAAAAACTGGAATTACACCTAGAAGAAGTTGGAAGAAAAACGTAATGTCTACATATGTGCTGTACTTCTTTATCACCCAGTGCTAAGGAACTTGATGTATTTAAGTATCCCATCTGCAGCTCAGGAAAATGGAGGAAACACACTTGTATTGGCAACTGTGTTCAGGGAGAAACAGGTTCCTGTATTCTCATGAGTAAACATAATCTCCTTCTTGAAGGAGAATTAATCCAAAATTACAGTTTACATTGCTATCACACCTGAGCAAAAATTTGCAGCTGCTTGATCTGCCCATGCTAAAAAACATGTCCCTTGAGCAACCGCTTTTTAACTAACATAAGGTACATATCAGTACTGCTTAACTGTGAAAATGAAATCAGATTACTGATTAAAGAGGCAAAAATACTTCATTATCAGTCTCCTGGATTACTTGGGTGTAGTAAAAGTTTTAGAGTTAGATCATATAAGTGGTAATAATACTTGCTCCAAAGGTAGGAATTTAGAAGCCAGTAAAGTTCCTGTAGAAGGGATGCAAAAGGGGACTTTGAACTACCAGTACACTGAGCAGTCACACAAAATTGGGAGAAGGGTGTCACTCAACATTAAAGAGTACAAGGTGTATTGGAGCAGAAATACACTTTCACTTTCAGATTAATATACTAAAGTTCAGACCAAGACCTGATTTAAATACTTAATCCTGTAATTGGTTCTAGCAGTTATTTCCATGTTCTTCAGTAAACTTGGCCTTTTTCATTCTTGGAATTCACTAAAAATGTTAATGAGAATAGAAATTACTTAACAGAAATGTAATCAAAAATATTTTTAATTTGAAAAAATGCTTCAGAGTTTCCAATCAGCACCATGTAAAACATTTGGTCCTTACTTAGGTTTAGTTTGTAAACCCCTATTGCACATAACGTAATATAAAAAAATTTTAATGCATCTGTGCTTTTTAACAAGGCAGAAATGAGCAACATACCGCCATGGATATATTTGGTAGTTAGATTACAGCAGATGTCAAAATAAACTCCCCAAACTATCCAATATTCATGTTTTCATCACTGCCTAATGTGCTATGTGTTGATAAGAAACATACGTTCACAGTTCACATTCATTAAATGGAGTACATGCATCTCTTCTTTTTTTGCTTTCTTATTCAAGTGGTGTGAACCAAAGAGGATTACCAGGAGGGCACAATACTTGGCACTGATGAGCATGACTCACAGATGAGAATGGGACAAGAGTAGTGACAAGTCTTTGTAAGGGTGTTGAGCCAAAATAGCACGTCTTCAGATAGATACTCAGAATATACTATGTAGTAACCACTCCATATATCTACAATTACTCCTTGACACCAAGGCATGAAACCAAAAAAACAGAAAGAAAAGTGCCTTCAATAGTATCTAAGTACTTGGACAAGTGCCTTAAGTCAGACAGAAGGCAAAATCCTTTAATTCCCATGAACTTCAAAACATTCAGCCTGCCAGAGATTAATTTCATGGGTCACTTCTTGATTACGTGTTCTGAAGAACAGTATAGAAGAAGAATCAGTTATTATTTTGATGTATCTGGTCAATCTGAACTCAATAATGTATGATTTTAAATACTATCCATCCTTTGCTTGACACTTCGAGTGACTTCAGTCAACAAACTGAAAGCTTTAGTGCGTAGCTGAGATGAACATGAGAAAGTGCTCCTTGCAAATGGACAGCATTAGCAATTAAAATTTCATTTTGTGCCATTACACAAAAAGGAACGTATTAATAGATTTGTGCAATAATAATTTTACAGAACTGGCAACGGTACCAAAACCAACCAACACTACAAAGACCAAAGCTCATATATTAAAGTAATAACTTTGAGGCTCCAAGTCTCTCATCCGGTAAAACACACTTTATTTAATGGGCCAGAAAGGATTCAAAAAGAAAAGCTTTGTGTTTTTCTTTTGCATAATCCAAAATTTAACAAAACCACCAACAAAGACAACAAAACAAAAGGGCAACTAAGTGTCTCATGATGAGATTCTCTCCATGGGATTTGGTATCAACCTTTAGGACAAGCTAGATTCCTGCTTGGACACCAGACCATTAACAGATTAATCAATCTTATCAAGAAGCCTGGAACAAGGTATATTTCATAAAATCAAACTTTTTATTTAATTGCTTCATTCCACTATGAGTCAGTTGGAAAGGCCAATGGGTATTTAGCCCAAGGAAAGACTACTGAAAGCTTAAGGTAGTACACAGCAATGTAAAGTGAAATGCAACATTTGTCCTACTTATTTCAAGGACCTGTGTTGTTTCAAAAGAATAAACATCATCTTCATGAAGAAAAGCTATCCCAATGTGTATACAAACAATTCAAAATAGAGTCCACTTGTAAAATGGACACTTGTGATTAAACCTTTTCTAAACAGGTGTCTGACATCTACTCAGAATTCCCTAAAAAGCAAATGAAAGCAGATGAACTCTTACAGTGAACTCTGTAAGACATTGAATATGCTTTAACAGTGCTCAGGGAACAAGTTTTATAATCCTTTTATGTCAAGGAACTCTATCAGCATGTATACCACACTGAACTGCAGCCTACAAACAACTGGTAAGCTCCTCAGTAACTCAAATCTTCATATTTCAGACATCAGACATTTCAGTTTCTTTCTGCAGTAGTTTAAATGCAAACCACACACTTTGCAGTTTTGGCAGCTCTTTATGTGTTCTCCTTTGAACTTGACTCTCAGAGTCTGTGTATCAATTAAAGTCGCTGTAATGCTTGAGTTAGCACAAACACATTGTGCTAGAACAACAGTGGCCAACAGGAAGAACAAAGAGCACACATTCATTGGAGAAGGTAGTATTAATTGGTTCCCACAAAAACGGAATAATTAACTTGCCAACCATGCTGGAGATACTAAAAGTGTGCTCTTGAGGTGTGGATGCTCACTGGTAAGGTTCATTAAAGTGCAGCTCAGTGCAGATAAGCTGCTCTACCCTCTACTCCAAGAACAGAGCTGGAAATAAGAATTACTGTGAAGCCTGCTAAGCAGTAACAGGTTTTGTATAATTTTGAAATATATTAAGTGGATACCTGAGAAACAACAATGCCCTCTGCTTGGACTCCAAACACCACTTTTTTTTTTTTCAACTTTGAAGCCAGAAAAATTTACAACAAATTAATAAGCACTATGAACCAAATCCAAAACTGTGACAAAAACTGGGGTCCACTCAGTCTTTCCACTGTAGAGCTGATAAGCCTTCTGGAGCAATGTTTTGTGGCTACTGAGGCAGAGCCTGAGTAGCCTGAGGCTACTCAAAGCAGCTGCTACTAAACTCTAGTCTGCTACCATAGCTCCAGGTAGGGAAAGGGAGATTATTCAGATTATGTTAAATACACAAACCAATTCTACCCTAAATTGCTAATGAAGACAACATCATTCATGTTATGTGTCAAGCTATGTCAAAGCACTGAGTTTGCAAAATTTACAGTTGGCTCACAGTATTTTATTGTACAGCACAAGTAATTGGCAGGTATGTACTGTATGTTTCCTAGAAAAGTATTTTTGTTTTCCTTAAAGTCTAAAGTAGAAAGTAAAAATATCTTACTGTATTGATTCCCAGACCATTAAGCATGTATATCACATCCTCTGTGGCTACATTTCCAGTAGCACCTTTTGCATAGGGACAACCACCAAGTCCTGAAACAGATGAATCCACTACAGAAACTCCCATCTGGAAAATAACAACACAAAACCAAAACATCAGCACAAAGTATTAATTACATTTATTGATAAATGGCAGGCTGTATGGATTAATTACATGCAAAAAATATGCACTTCTCTACAAATGGATGTGTTCCTTGGAGGAAGTTCCTTATAATGGAACAATTAGTCCTGACATCTTTATAAGGTAAGACTCTTCAAACACAGGATATGGAACAAAGAACTAACAGTCCATTACATATGATTTTGACAGATAAGATAATTGCTGCTTTAGAGTCAAACAGAGGTTTATGCTTTTTCTCTCTTTATCTTTCAACATGTTTCTAAGTAGCCTGCATCTATTCTTGTAAATGCTTTCATTGAACCAAACACAATCAATGGAAGTTCTCCTTAGATATAGGTTCTGAGCTTTACTTTGAATATTTTTAAGGGAATACTTGGTGCATGGTGTTAACCTTTCTCATTTTAACTAGTCTTAAATTAAGACTTGAAAAAACACTCAGCTGTCATAAATTCATAATTCTCTGATTTTTATTTTCTTACTGCTGCACCCAAGTGCCTTCTCTCTTCTGATCCTCTCAGCATATTCATGATAAAAAATAGTAAACCAGTTACCAATTCTGCCTAGCAGATAATACTACATTTCCTATGGGATAAAGCCTTCCCTGGAAGACAGACTGGGAGGGAAAAAAACCTGAGCCTGTAATTTCCACTGATTTGAGTGAGCGCTTGCACCCTCTTCATTCTGTAATTAGATTTTAAAATAAAGCTGAAATTGAGAAGAGATCTTTTTCTGTTACATGTTAGGTATGTGATCCAGGACACTGGGTCTCCCTTGTCAGACAAAGCTTTTCAGTCTTCCCCTTGAAGAAGATCAGATGCCTCTGGAGGCATTCAGGCTCTAAAGATAATCACAAGCAGACAAGGGTATTAAGCAGAACAGTCATCAGCTCTTCAAAGACACCAGCTTCTTTCTATCTTAAGTACACTGAGGGTTCTCCCCATAGGGCTAATTTAGGCAGACATACACCAAAACTGTAGAAGGAGAAGTCAGGCAGACTGAATCAGAGTGCAATAACAGCTCAAATTCAGGACAGGAGTTCCACTTTGACTTTGGGTCCAGAGAAATTCATATGTTAAACCATGCCTGTTACTTGCATTTGCAAGTCAGTAAGATCTGCTTTGAGGCCTGGCTGAAGAGAGAGCTGATTTCCCTTCTGAGGGACCTACCTACCCCTGCCAGCTAGTCCAGAACCCTGAGCTTCTCCTTCACAGCCATGCACACAACTAGCTGGCAAGGTAGGCAAACAATATGTCCTGCATTTTGCAGTTGCTAAGACCCCTATCCAAATATACCTATCAGTTGTTTTGGGTATTTTTTTAGTTCCAAAATAAACTTCCCTGATGTTTTGTTGTACTTGCTTCTACTTTTAACAACACTTTCTGTAGTTTTATCATTGGCCTTACAGGCTTTTTAAAGTTCCAACGTTTCTGGAGGGCAATAATAAAAAGTAATCCAATGAAGTGCTGTTCCAGGTCCTTTTCTTGGACAGGGAATGTTATCTTGAGCTAGGTAGCTTCTCAAAGCCTGTAATAAGGACCTCAAAGGAGTTGAGGTGTGCAACTGTGACAGGCAAGACGATATGTTTAATATTGCTCACACAATGAGAGTCTCTAAGGAAGGATATTGTCCTTTAAAGTACACTAATCTGTGACTTATGGAGCAAATCACCAAAGTACATTTCACATTTCAGTCACTTGTTACACACTTTGTGTAACCTACCAGTCAGAAAATGTGTTATATGACACATCTGTGTCTAATACACAAAGGATAAGCATTTATGATAGCTTTCAATTGGAAATTCTCTCTTTTTGCATTAGCTGCTAAGATTCATGCATTTATGCTGGAAGTCATTGCTACAAGCTCCACAGTGGCAACTTTCAGGCTTGCAGGTGTCCCTGCAGACACACACATAAGGCCTCTTAGTGGAAAGATTTAGGGTATGGTGAGGTTCTGCAGAAAAGAGTGTCTGACATGGATGTGCAGGTTGATACAAGCATGCATTCCACTACCATGCCTGCTCTTTCAGTTTAATTTTAAGACTTCAATTAGAAATTGCTGTTCCAGCGATGAAAAGGTAGAAGGTCTTCTCTGTGGTGACTCATGATGGGACCCGAGGGAATGGCCTGAAGTTGTGTCAGAGGAGGTTTAGGTTGGATATTAGAAAGAGGTGTTGGGCACTGGAACAGGCTCCCCAGGTAAGTGGTCACAGCACCAAACCTGACAGAGTTCAAGAAGCATTTGGACAATATTCTCAAGACTCTTGAGGATGGTACTGTGCAGGGCCAAGAGTTGGACTTGATGATCCTTGTGGGTCCCTTCCAACTCAGCATATTCTGTGATTCTGTGAAGGAAGTGTCTTTCATGGAGTTTTCCCCAAACTGTAAGGTTATATTGTAACTTCTAGAGCATTCTTCTTGATGTACTTATTTTCAATAACTTTTACATGGTGATAAAAGCTATAGGCAAATAAATTTATAAGGTACATCACAGCTGTTAAACTCCCAAGGAAGATGAGCAGACTCAGAAACAGCTTCAGTAGCATATAAAGAGTCACATTCTAGTCCCATATAAAGAGTCACATTCTAATCCCAGTGAATTATCTCATTAAATGCTTGTCCTTGTGCAAAAATCGGAAAAAATATCAAGTAAATTGTACTTGTTGAAAAACAGCCAAAAAAAGTTTGCCAGGTCAAAGCTGGGGAGAACCTCTCCCTCTGCAGTGTGTATTACTATCAGTAGCCTGCTCCAGTCGGTGACAGTAAGCAAAACCAAGAAACGATATTCTGCCAGCATTAGAGGAGCATGTTTTCTGAAAGCATTGAATAAATATATATAAAAATTTCTTGATATCCTTGTACAAACACTTGTGATGCCACTGTAATCCTGCATTTGCAGTGCAAGTCTTGTAACACTGAGGAACAGGTTGCTTACAATCATTTGTTTAAAGTGATTGTGAATACATGGAGGAGTACAGGATACTACAGCAACTTGATGGTAACATGGAACACATATCTTTGTCTAGCCACATTTTGTATTCTCAGGCAGCCTTGTCTGCGTTTGATTCAAACTACCTTCCCTGGAAGCTAGAGTAAGCTCAGTCAATTTAGCCTAATGTAGATGCAAGAGCATAAAAATCCTAATGCCTTCTGCTGGCTAAGTAGTGGGAATGGTAACTTGCACATGACTGGCAGTGATAATTGGTCTGTCTTTTCAACATTGACTATTATGGCTAAGCAGAAAGAGGAGAAAGTCTTAATTACAGCTTTACACTGGTAATGTCCTTGGTGTGGTGGCTTTCATCCCAGTACAGGACTCTTAAACCATTACTTCCCAGAAGCAGTGTATAAACATGAAGTCACTAAAACTGCTTCTCCATCAGGATGGATTTGCTATTTGAACATTAGGCCAGTTGTAGACAAGGTCTTGACATGGTGTATATAATACAGCAGCTCTGACTGACCTCCAGATCTGGCAGTTCTTCAAATCAATGCTCTTAATATGCAATGTACAGATGTCTCTGCCTTTAAGATAATGTCTTTTAAAGTTCTCTTCACAGTGCTTCTGATAAGATGTCCACTGCAACATACAACTATTTCAGCAGCAGGGTCAGCTGCATCTGTCTGCTCTTGCGTGTTGTACAAATGTAATGTGTTTGCTGATTCATGTGCAGAATCACTGCAGTTCATCTTCAGTGTGGCCCCATTCAAAAAAGACCTTAAATAATCCATAGTCCAAGCTCCATTCTAACAGTGCTAAAAACAGATGTTGGAAAACATCCTTCAGCAGTGCTACTAACTAATTTGGAGGTTGATATTACAGCTGAGCCTGTCCAAGCACAGTCTGAAATAGCACCTAATAAATAAATTCTCTGCAAGTCTGAGCAGCTATGAAGCTTCTTTGCTTCTGCAGCCATTAAAAGCATAAGGGACTCTAAAAAAAAAAAATCTAAAAATTGACTAAATATGTAAAACAAGGTCTTTTCCTTCATTACATCTCCAGTATTTTTCAGGCTTTTACAGGAGATAACAAGTTTCAAGCTGTTTAGCAATCTGAGCTTGCAAAGTATTCACTGTCAATAGGAGATCTTTAAAAAGCTTACAGTCTCATTGTCACTTCCTGACAGGCACTAAATTGTGCTGACATTCATGAGAAGTTGCACTGCAGCTATTCCATAGGATATGTCCTAGATGAGCACTCACCCAGCTACTTATGTGTGGACATGTGTGAGGGTGAACAATAGCTTGGCTTCCAGGACAACTCTAGTGCTCCAATCTTTTTTGACACTTTGCAGCCTTTCGATAATCACTAAATTCCTGACAGTGGTTCCTGAACACCTTCCAAACTTTAGCTTTGGCTAGCTTTAGCTTACTCTCTAGAGAAGGTAGAAGACTTCTTGCTCCTGTCCCATGCTAACTTCCCAATTCCCCAATGAGAGAGCAGGGAATTAAATTTATCACCTTTGTCAAACAGCCAATTTTAACAGGAAACCATTATTGCCAGTGAATAATAAATGCTTTATGTTTCTCAGTTTGCTTTACTGCCTCCCCATAACTTCTTGTTGGGACAGTCAGTCTCCTTCCTTACTGATCTTTAAACCTGGCTTTGTCTGGCAGAAGTTTAACTTTGTCCCTCTCTTAAAAATGGTAGAGTCAGCATCAGTAACCCCAGGAATGTATGAGGTATAAATCAGAAGCTATAAACCAGGTCTCTCATAAATTAGGCTTCTTCTAAACTATGAGATTTTGAAATCATAATATCAAGGATCCTAGGTATGCATTAAACAGGCAAAGATTTGTTGTGTGAAAAAGTCTAGGGGCTTGTGTGCCAATGCCTTAAAGATAGGTGCATGTAGGTTCAGCATTTGTTCAAGGAAGGGAGAAGGGAGGGAGGAAGAAGTAAAAGGAGGACCCACACATATCAGGTCAAAGGTTGTCCACAAAAGGCAG